AAGGAATTACATGTAACAATGCAATGATGGATTTAGGAACGACTGTATTCAGTGATGGTCAAGCCTATGTAGGTTTGTCACGAGTAAGTAAATTGGAAGGCCTACATTTGATAAATTTCAATCCAGCATCAGTTAAAGCAAACTCGAGAGCCATTGTAGAATATAATCGACTGAGATCTATATTCAAATCTGAACTGCCACAAATCAATCCGTCCGAGAAAAAGGTTGTGAAAATGTACGATCGTCGATGGGCTATCCCTAATATCATTGATGATGTGCAGAATTATGATTGTGAGGAACCAGAAAGTATAGTTACGTGGAAAATATATGGCCTTTGCAATAACGATGCTGTTTCGTGTTACGCTAATGTAATATTACAATGTGCGTTTCATTGCGTACGTATTAGGCAACAAATACTGAAAAATAAAGCATCGAATGCATTGACTGATGCTATCTGCGCGTATGGTGAACGTAAATATTGCAACATTCAAGCGGTTAGAAGATCTGTCGGAAAACGCTTCGAAGAACGAACACAACAAGATGTTTCGGAATTTTTTACGGCTCTAATGTCGACGTATTCCGACATCAATGATGTATTAGAACTCGAATTAAAGCACGTAACATGTTGCTCGAATGTCAAATGTAATTACAATGTAACTAAGCTGGAAAGCAGTAGTTTGTTAATATTACCTATACATTCGACATTAAAAAGGAAAAAAGGTGTCACTCTACAAAGTTTGATTAATGTAGAATTTTCTAAATGGGAAACGATAAACGGCAATTGTAACGAATGTAAGGGTACCGTGTTGAAAAGGAAAACCGTAATCGAATCAACTTTATCCGTCGTAGTAATACAGCTCAATTTATATACTTTTGTAAACGGTGCTTCTAAAAAAATTATCAACAATCGGATTAACGCCGTGCCGACGAGTAATATCACGATTAATAAAAAAAGTACAAGGTAATAAGCGCTATATTTCACGAAGGTGAAGAAATGAATCGTGGTCACTACACGTGTATGTTGAGAGCTGACACAAAATCGGAATGGTATTACTCTAATGATATGGAAGTGTTCAAGAAAAAATGGCCCAAAGGAGCACAAGGGGCATACATATTGTTCTTAGAACAGATTAAATAATGGCGCTGTATAAAGGCTGCCGTAAGCGCCGAAATAAAACATCGGCTGCTCTGACGCTGTATAAAGGCTGCCGTAAACGCTACATTAAAACATCAACTGTTCTAGCGCTGTATAAAAGTTGCCGTAAGCGCCAAAATAAAATATCGGCTGCTCTGGCGCTTTATAAAAGCTGCTGTAAGCGCTGCATTAAAACGAGTGCAATAAGTTTCTAATTTGACCTAGGCTTCATGACATTTCAAAAAGTATCATCCAGAAAAAAATTATCAGACAGAAATATGTATGTCGTGTTAAAATCGGAGAGACAAAGAAAAATATATGGTTGCGTTCTCACGAGAATGGGCGATGGAGGGGCCCATTCTTTATTTTCAATATTCATACAAAAATATAAATTCATTCTGTTGCAATTGAAATAAATGTGCAATGTATCGTTAAAAATTATTACAATTATACAAACATTTACATATATGATTAAATAAAATATATATATATGTATACTATAATATAATTATATATTTTATATATGTACATATATACCATATATTTCAATTATTTTGAACTATATTGCATAAATTGTTACTTATACAAAGTTATGTGATAAGAATCGAAAATACATATATCGGAAGTTGATACGAAATTTCGAAATTTTACTAAAGAAAGATTGGAGGTTTTTAATTTATACAATTTTCACAACTCTTATTTCAATTATTTATTCTACTCATCGAAAGTTTTTTGAAAGCAGGCCGCCATGTTATTTTTCTGAGTCATTAACAAATTGGTACTCTGGAATTACGAGCAATTATTTTTCATTGTACGGGCTAGTATGAATTTCAAATCAAATCTCTATAAACAACTATTATATTTTGTGCACTAAGAATAACATATCGCACTTATTTTCTAGAATCAAATTGTAATCAGTTTTACTTATATGTTATGTATATTCAATGTGAACTTGCACCTTGAATAAAATATCACAGTTACTTTTCATGGTAATACCCACAAAACATTTAAATATTCTTAGTACATACATTGTACATACATTTACGTATATTGTATATTCCAGGTATATACTTTTTGATGTAATATACATACAATGGATGTGAAATGTATGCGCAAGTGAAACCAGGTTAATGTACATAGAAGGTTCAAAGTATATACATATGCATATGATATGTACATTGTATGTATGTATATTCTGTACATGCAATATTATTATATGTAACATGTACATATCATATATATACACATTTGTACATACATTAGATAGTAAAAATATACTGGGTACATACATTGTACATACATTTATGTATATTGCATATTCTAGGTATATACTTTTTTAATGTAATATACATACATTAAATGTAAAATGTATGCGCAAATGAAACCGGATTAATGTACATAGAAGGTTCAAAATATATACATACGTATATGATATGTATATTCTGTACATACATTATATTATTATATGTAACATGTACATATCACATACATATATATTCCATGTATATACTTTCTTGATACAGTATACATGCAGAAAACGTGAAATGTATATGAAAATTAAACAGGGTTAATGCACCTAGATGTATATTTATGTACATTTTATGTATATGTATTTATGTATATTTTTTGTATATACTTTTTTTATGCATGTAGATACATCGAATTTGAAATGTATATGTAAATGTAATAATGTACATAGAAGATGCAGAGTATATACATATGTGCATGATTAGTACAGTTTATGTATTTATATATTATGTACATACATTCTTTATATATAGCATGTACAATATCAGGGACAGCAATGTCTTAACGCATGAATTTATGCACATACATATATATACTCCAATATGTGCATAAATCCATGTATCTATCCCTGTGTTTGTTAAATAAACTACGTTCTGATATTCACTGAAACATCACATATACTATAGATTTTCAGTAATGACAATGAATATCAGAATACAGTTTATGTAAAAAGAGATAGGAATGTTTTAACACATGATGTAATGCACAAATTGAAGCATATAATATGCACATAAATTCATGTATTAGGCATTGCTGTTACTGGTATGATATGTGATACAAGCTATATATATATATATATATATATATATATATAAAGAATGTATATACAGAGTATACAATACATAAACTATACTAATTACGCGCGCGCGCACGTACACACACACACACACATAACACATTTTGAATCTTCTATGTACATTATTCCAGCTACATATATAGTATATACATATTATATTATATTTAAAAAATGCATATGATGTGTGTTTCGATACAAAATTTATACAAAAAGGCACTTTTGATCTGCCTAGTGTAATACGTGTGAGTTTGTCTATATTATATGAATGTGCACATGTGAACATATAGAATATATCTTTTATTTTAGGCGATTTTTGGCGATCTTTTGGTATATATACCAAAGGATCGCCAAAAATCGCCTTTTATAATGATTTTATGTTATAGATATAAATATACAATAGTAGTTTTATTTAGTTGAATGAGTCATATGTGTCATACATGTATATAGACATTATTACATATGTGTGTGTATACATATAAAGTCATGTGGAATGATATATTAAAGGGAAAGAGTTAATACAACAATCTATTAAAAAAAGACAAGTTTGCAATAAAAAACACTATAATTAATAATAAATTATATATATATAATTAAATATATATAATTTTACATATATAAACAGCCGAGTATATTTATACGATGCAATATGTGTTTTTTTAAACAAATTAAACGTATTAATAATTAATACAAATATATATGAATACATAATATAAATATAATGTGTGTGTTAATAACAGATGTATTTTAAAATCTATTTCATAAAATTAAAAAAAATTGCACCTTTCTTTCTTTTGTTTTATAAAATAATACAGACTAGCATTATTATTTGCACTTTTCTTCTTTCTGTTTTATCATAATACATAATTAAATATATAAATTTTTTTTTATACTATATTTTTAATTTAGTATTGTAACTTAATAGAATAGAATTGTAACCCGACAGAATATATTAAACACAAAAATTTAAAGACATAATGTTTATCTAATCCTATTCTAAATATAATATAAAAACGTAAATTTACACTATGTTAAATATATTAAGGCTCCTCAGTAGTCACCGCGGTCATATTGGATTCATGACATCAGAAGCGAGAAATGACACGTCGAAAATTCTTGCGTGCCATTTTTAGATAAAAACATGTTTGAACAAAATAACGCTACTGATCGCTTTAGCATACTTGAAAGATTGTCCGAAAACTGACCTGCTCTCTTGACACGTCATAAATAACTGAAAAATGAGTGTGAAACAAGGTCAAAAAATGCAGAAAAACTTGTAGTTTGACAACTGTTGAAAGGAAAATCAATGTTCCTTTCACGTAATATATTTCTTACACAGTTCAGTTTCCGGACAATCTTACGGGTCTCATGAATATATGACACGTCGCAATACTAGCGTAAACCTAATAATTACGAAATGGCACGCAAGAATTTTTCGCTGTCATTCTCTCTTAAAGAAAGAAACAAAACTATACAGTACATAAGAGAGAAAGAAACAGAACTATAATGTCGGCATCGTCAACTCAGAGTTTTACGGTGACTATCGAGGGGCTTTAAATATAATATACACACATATGTGCATAATCTCAAACGTGGAGTAAAACTGAAAACTTAAAAATATTTCGAATCTTGAATCTTATAGCATTTTCGAGCGAGACGGGTTTTGATCGCTCTGGAAGCGAATTATGACGGCATTGATCAATCACAGCCATTTCTCCAAAAAAAATGAAATGATATAATTGGTCAATGACATAATTCGCTCCCGGAGCGATCAAAATGCGTCTCGCTCGAAAACGCTATTATATATTTCTGTTTCATTGCTGATTAGTTGACTCTTCAATTGCTTCAACTATTTGAAGAGCTATATTTTTGTCTTTATTATTACTAAAGCGATCCTTACTCCTTACAAGCCACGCTTTTATAAAGCCTATTATTTCTGAATCTGTACACTCTTGAGTATTTTTATTAAGACGTACAGCAGCTGTAAAATTTAATTTATTTTTATGTAATTATTTAAATATTTTCACAAGATATTATAAAAAATATATTTATATGTGTATACATACATACATACACACACACACATAATTGTACATAATATTATACAAATTTATAAAAAAAATATTGATATATGTATGCATATACAACAAATATATAATAAAATGTACTCAAAGAATTTACATGTCTAAATAAGTAACAAAGATTACAACTTTTATGAATATACATATGATGATATTTTTAAACAATATTTTAAATATTTTTGTTTTCTTGTTTTTAAAACATTAAGCAATATTATTTAATATATTTTTATTTAAAAACACTTTATTATTTATTTTTGTTAAAAAAAATTGGAAAAAACAAAAACTTTAAAACATAATTTAATAAATAAAAATTATAAAAATAACTTACAGAGAATTACAGACGCCACAGCTAAATTTTTGAAAACTTTCTTTTTCTTTGCCCCTTCCCATGAGTAGGACATACCAACTTCGTTGGTAAAAATGCGATACATAATTCTTCGAACGATTTCTTTAACGGTACATCCTCCAATGCGACTTAAATTTTGAGACTAAAACAATAAGATCATTATATTTATTTATATTTTAAATATAATAATATAATATAAATATAAAATACAAATATTAAATATTAAATATAATATAATTTTTACCGATCCTTTTAAATCTTGAAATTAAATATATAAAATATATTAAATATAATATATAATATAAATAAAATATATTACAAATTATTTAAATTATTAAAATATATATATATATGTATATATATATATTTATGTTGTCTTTATAAAATATTTAAATATAATAATATAAGATACAATTATACACACATATAATCAAGTTTAAATATTCTTTTTACTAAATTAAGTATAAATTATCTTATTAAAATATATATATACATATAATTTGTCATACTATTTATCAAGAGACACGGTAGTGTCTCGCGACCAGTTAAGGGCGTAGCCGAGACACCGTGTATCTTAACGCGAGTCGGACATTTGAGTCTTTATAATATTTCGAATTCTCAATAACGGCTGAAGCAATCGAGTTTATACTAGACTTAATCGATAGATTGAGTTTGAATTATATAATAAAAGTGTCTTTATTTCTGCTCTACGTGATTTGTAAGCAGAGATATATAATTGCAAAGTCGAAATATGAAAAATTTCTTTTAAGAAACGTCCCCGTCATCATCGACCACGCAAACATAGTAGTATCGTGCTACACGTATTCACACGTATACAACACATGCGCACACATATATCACACGTACACAACATATGAATAGATGCATGTATTGGAAATGTCCATCTCGCACGTTTTACAACAGACGGCGATAGTATGTCGCTCCATGATCCATGATGTTAGGTATATATGTGTCAGATCAGATGTCAGATTTGATGACATGTAACCTCTTTGCATGTAACATGTATGTAGGTTACATTCCCTACAATGTCATGTTACATATTAGTTGTAATTATATAGAATCCACGCGTATGGAAGAAATGGATATTCTACTAATCGACTCAAATTTTTGCCAAGATGTATATAAGCAAATAAAGCAAATGCAAAAGCTAAACGATAATGCTCTCGATTTTAATTCTATATTAAATAGATTAGAACTCGCGACAGTAGATATGTATAATAAACTTTATTCACTAAGTAATATCATCAGACAAGTCCAATTACATCAAGAGCCTTCTGCTGACATTAATTCAGTGGTATCTTTTTTTTATTGAACAATTATATTATTCAATTTATTATATTATATTCTTTAGTCTTGCTGCGTTTGCATGATTCTGCAATACATCATTAACTAATAGGAACTACATCTGTTTTATAACTAATATTTTTTCAGCGTGATCAGGTCACGTCATGCATTGCAAATAATCAACGATTGTTGAAAGAATATAATTTGTCTGCTGAGAAATTTGATCATATTTGCTTGATTGCTACAAAATATAAATACGCGGGAAAACTTACAGGTTTTACTAGTAAATATGTATACACTCTGCTATCACCGAACCATGCTAGCATATATGTGGCAAATTTTTGGCTGCACTTAGAAATGAATTTCAGTAGGCCAACGAAAATCAGCATCAATTGTAAAGGAGTGAGAATTGAAAATTAATTATATTAAAATGACCACGATTGTAATTGACTTAATAATAACGAATATTTAATTACAACAGAATGTGACAAGATTATTAAATTAATCTCTATGATATTTTAAGGGAAACAGGACGTACAATATACAACTTTGTTTAATAAATATATATATTCTCTTAAGACGGAAAAGTATAGAATGTTGTAACAAACGTTTTTGAATAATTATATATAATACATAATACATATCATTATACAAAATTTTTGCGTATTCCTTTATTCACTATAATATAGTTTCTATTGTTGAAAAAAGGTATTATTCAGGCTTATGTGTCGAGTTTTGAGAAAAGAGCTGTTACAAACTGTTATGTACGTACTAGAGAATCCTTTAGCACACCACCGTAGTTACGTACATAACAACTTGGCCGTAATATACTGGCCGTCGGGCCCGCGGCCTGTGCTACGGGCGGCTGCCCTTAACGGCTCCCCCCCCATGCTCCACTCTGACGCCGCCTCTCCGGCCGCGTCACGTCTCTCTCACTCATACTCAACATGCTCGAGCGTCCATACACCACAACTCTCCCTCGCTTTTCATCTAGGGCTTATCAAGGCGCGGAGATCTACGCAAAACCTTGTCGTTAGGCTTACCCTTAACAATTTGATCTACATGTCTTTTTTTCACTACTTCATTTTTTGTTAGCACCGCGTACGTCGATGGCGAAGTCTTTTTTACAATTTTACCGAGGCCGCGCTTTTCAGTATTCCTACCATATTCGTTAATAAGCACATCGTCGCCGACCTGTAGATCAATTTGTCGTCCGCCCTTTCTGCCTACGATTTGTGCGCGCTGTCTATCGTCTACCGCGCTCAATACATTCGGTTTCAGTAGATCAAATCGCGTCCTCAACTCCCGATTGTACATTAGAAACGCTGGGCTTCTTCTGGTAGTGCAGTGCTCAATACTGCGGTAGTCAAACAGGAACATGTAAACCGCTGTATCTAATCTCTCTCCTCCTTTAATAATTTTATGGACCTTGTCCTTAAACGTCTGAATGAAATTTTCCGCGGCTCCGTTTGTTGCTGGGTGGTACGGCGGTGAATACGTATGTTTTACTCCGTTTCGAGTCAAAAACTCGTGAAATTCTTCGCTTCTGAATTGAGGTCCTCCATCCGTTACACAATGCAATGGTAATCCGTACCGCGCAAATAAACCTTTAAAAATCTCTATTAGTTTGTACGCTTTTGTATTATTTTGAAAATTTATGATTTCGGGCCATTTAGAGTGCGCGTCTACGATTATAAGGTACATGTTTCCGTAAAATTTTGCGAAATCGCAATGTATACGGCTCCATGCCTTGGTAGGCCAAGGCCATGTAGTCAAAGGTGTATTCGGCGGCTTTTTTCGTTCAATCAAGCAAATTTTGCATTCTTTTACCAACGATTCAATATCTGAGTTAATTGTTGGCCACCAAACATAAGACCGAGCAAGCATTTTGATTTTTACGATACCCAAATGAGTAGCGTGTAACTCATTTAATATCAGTTTTTGCATATCTGTTGGAATGGCCGCTCTTAAGCCCCAAAATAAACACCCTTTATCGACTGTTAATTCCGATCTCTTTGAATAAAAACATTTGTTTGCATCCGCTAAGTCTTTCTCATTTGGCCAATCGCTCATTACATACTTAATTATTTGACTTATTGATTTATCTTTCTTGCTTTCTTCAGCTAGCATTTTATAATCTAGCGTTTTCATACCTTCTTCAAAAAAATTAACGTACGAAAATTCTGTTTCCAGTTCGCGAAAAATTTGGTCGCTTTCAGCATCTGCAATCGGTAATCTCGATAACGCATCGCAATTTGCGTTCGCTTTTGAATTTACATGTTCGATTGTGTAACGAAAACCTGATAAGTAATATGTGTATCTCTGAAGACGATTGTCGGCCGTAACTGGGATACCTTTTCTTGGTCCTAATATATATTGCAACGCCTTATTATCTGTTCTCAAAATAATCGTTTTACCGAACACATATTGAAAAAATCTCTTGAAACCGAAAACTATTGCCATTGCTTCCTTGTCTAAAATTGTACGATTCAATTCTTTTTTTGCTATGCGCTTGGAGGCAAAAGCTATTGGTCTTTCTGAACCGTCCGCGTATCTATGAGAAAGTATAGCGCTAATTCCATAATCCGATGCATCGCATGCTAACAGTAATTTTTCTTTCTGGTCATAATGCGCTAATACTCTGGGAGAAATTAATTCGTTCTTGACCCATTCAAATGCCTTATCACACTCAGCATTCCAATTAAATTTAACACTATTTTGTAAATCGTACAGCGGTTTCAGGTTTAGCGACCTGTTACTCAAAAATCTATCATAAAAAACTGCAAGGCCCAAAAACGAACTAAGTTCCTTCTGATTTGACGGTTTAGGTGCGTTAACAATAGCGTCTACTTTAGATTTTGCTTTATGCAATCCATTTCTGTCGATTACGAAACCTAAAATTTCAATTTTGTTCTGAAAAAATTTACTTTTGTGTTTGTTCACTCTTAAGCCGCATTCTTGTAAGCGTTTGCATACTAATAGCAAATTTGCCATATGCTCTTCTTCCGTTTTTCCCGTGACATAAACATTATCGATATATGTAATTACGCTATTAATCCCTCTCAGACATTCATCCATTTTTCTTTGTACATCTGCCGGCGCGGGTGATACGCCTTCTGGAATATTCTTGTATCTAAAAAGACCTTTGTGTGTTATTATCGTGAGGTATTGTCTACATTCCTCGGCAACTGGGAATTGCATGTACGCGTGCTTTAAATCTAACTCTGAAAATAATGCGCCTCCTTGTAGACTTGAAAAAATCTCATCTATCGTATGCAGCGGGTACTTATCCATAATCAAAAATGGATTCAGTGTGAGCTTAAAGTTTCCGCATAGCCTAATACTGTTATTACTTTTGAAGACTGGGATGATCGGGGTTGCCCATTCGCTAATTTCTACTGGCTCAATATGTCCGAGCTCTAATAGTCTATCAAGTTCGTTCTCAACTAGGGGCTTTAACGCATGCGCTACGCTATTACATTTCAACGCTACGGGGTGCGCGCCCTCTCTCAAGTGCAGCTTTGTTTTACTTTTATTGTATTGACCTGGCGTGTCGCTAAATAATAACTGAAACTTTTCGAAAAGAATTTTTGATACGTTCTCTACTTCAATTTTGTTTAATTTAACTCCAAAATTTTCATTTAATTTTAAAGGCCACAATCCCAATTTGTTTAACCATTGTCTCCCGATTAAAGTCGGTCCTGAGCCTTCCAAAACAAACAAATCAGCTCTATCTTTTTTTCCGTTGAATTCTATTTGTACGTTTACTACTTTTCCGACTGGGTTCAAAATACTGTTATCGTACGTTCTTAATCTGTTAGCGGTTTTTTCAATTTTAAGTCCTTTGAAAAATTTGTCATATCCTAACTCCGACGTTACTGTCGCAAACGTTCCGGTGTCAATCTCCATGCGTATTTGTTTACTATTCACGCGTACGTCCAAGAACATAGGCTCCGCATCGCCTTTGCTACCTTCATACCACACACAATCCTTGTTAACACGACTCTCGATCTTCATCTTGAAGAAATTGTTCCTATGTGTTGACTCCTCTGCCGTCGTTGTTGACTCCTGCCGCTCGTCGTCCTCTAGTAGTTTCACCTGATGTTGATCCTGACCGTTGTCCTTCCTCCTGCATGCCCTCTGTAAGTGACCCTTCCTGCCACAATCGCGACACTTGTAGTCCCGGAAACGACATTCCTTGCTGATGTGGTTTCTTCTACCATAACAATAACAGACTATGTTGTCACTTTGGTCTCTCCACTGCTGTGTATTATTCCCCTCTGCATTCCTGCGCTTATTATATTCGTGACCCTCGGCTTTCTTATCCCATTTCAATACTTTATTTGCGCTCCGTAGTGAGAAAACATCACTTTTTTCTGTTTTATGTTCCAATACATTTAAGGAATTTGATGCATTCTTTTCTGCCGCTTCTCTGGCGACCGCTTCTTTCACCGCATTGTCGTAGTCTAAGTTTTCCATTTTGAACAGCGCAATTTTTGTATCATAGCTTCTTAGACCACATACAAATTGATCTCTGAGTGCCATTTTTATGTCAGCAAAATTACAATATAAACTTAATTTTTTTAATTTTGCCGTGAAGTCGGCAACGCTTTCATTGGTTTCTTGTTTTGCCAAATTAAACTTACACCGTTCCATGACCTCTGACGGCTTTGGCGCAAGGTGATCACTCATTGTTTTAATTAGGTCTGCATATGTCTTAGTTGCCACCCGGTCTGGTGCTACCAACTGCTTGACCAACTTGAAAGCATCTTCATCCAGTCTTGTCAACAACTGTGCTGCCTTCTTCTCTGCTTTGACGTCGTGCGCGATGAAATACATTTCGAGGCGTTCCACGTACGTCTCCCAATCATCCTTATTCAATGTGAAATTTAGTTTCACTCCGTCCGACATGGCTATAACCGCACTATCTTTGCTAGCCCCGCTCGAACTATCGCTGGGAATGTCGCGAGCGTCTTGCTGTGCTTCGACTTTCTTTTCACTGTTGCCGTCTTCCTCCCTTTTTTCACTAGCTTTGCGTAACTCTTTCTTGACTATGTTACGCAACGATTCGCGCAAGTCGTTGAAATTTGTACTTCCTTCCAACACTATGCCGCGTTTCCCCAATTCTTCTATCAAGGCCTCCTTGTTCAGGGTTTGGATCCACGAGGTACCTTCTTTGTTCGACATCCACTAGCTGTCTGAAGACTGTAGTTCCTTTTTTTGCTGTGCACTGCGTTCGACTCTTTGCACTACTCGTCGCCAAGTTGTTATGTACGTAACTACGGTGGTGTGCTAAAGGATTCTCTAGACGTAAATCAGTATTACTGGATATCAGCTTTATTCTACCCCTTACAAGATACTGGCCGTCGGGCCCGCGGCCTGTGCTACGGGCGGCTGCCCTTAACGGCTCCCCCCCCATGCTCCACTCTGACGCCGCCTCTCCGGCCGCGTCACGTCTCTCTCACTCATACTCAACATGCTCGAGCGTCCATACACCACACAAACAAAATTTGTGATCACTTTAATATTTATGAAAAATAGCAATACACATACATGCACACAAGTTCACATTTAATTTTTTTACGATTTACTATTCAACGTTATGTTCGTCTTTTTACATTGCAAAATTTTAATTCATAAAAGGGATGATTAAATTAAAAGTCAATATAATAACAAAAATGATTATATTAATATGATATAAAATAATTAAGATAATTACTAAAATCCACTAGACATGTGCAAAATGTAGTGATAGCTTGACGGAAAAAAATATTTATTTGTATTCCATTTTCTTTATATCTTCAGTTTTATATACTATAAAATTATAAATTTATTAATATCTATTAATATTTATTAATTAATATTTATTATATTTATTAATATTTATTACTATATTATTTAAAAAAAATTGATCAAATTAATATAGATCATATCACAGAATTATATTCCGGCATAACTCTTTTAAACAGGTGTTCGTGATAAATATTAGTAAATCAAATCAAGCTTTTACGTCTAATTATATATATATATATATATTTAATAAGAAAAATATTTTTTATATTTTACTTGATCAATTAAAATTATATGATCATACGGTACAATAAAATATCATTTACACAATTATATTATCATATGAAGCAATAATATGATCCCAAATAACGAGTACTCGAACGAGATACTTTATAAAGTAAACTGCATTAAAGTAATATATGCAGTAATAAAATATATTTTATATTTATCGTATATGATATTACGCATTTGTGCTAATATGATAATACGTGTTCTAATACATATCTTTTAAAGCTATGATATCAAATATTATTTGAAACATGTTTGCAAATAAGGAAAGAAATGATTTAAGATAATGAAAATATTTCTTAAATTATGTATAAACATATATATAGAATCAAGTATCTTTGATTAAAGCATCAAAACGTCTAAACAGTAAAACATACACAGAGTCATGGCATTGCGGTAATGTTATTATATCATATATTGTACAAAAATGAATGATATAATCTCTAAAAACTCACCTTTAAAAAAAGGTAAAAAAAGGCGACCAGTTAAGGGCACGCCATTAACAAAAATTATTTATTGCAAACCCATGTAGAATCCTATCCTATTGCAAACCCATGTAGAATCCTATGAAAAATTAATCATTGCAAACCCATGTAGAATCCTAGGCAAAATTAACCATTGCAAACCCATGTAGAATCGTACCCATTGCAAACCTATGTGGAATCCTATGAAAAATTAACCATTGCAAACCCATGTAGAATCCTATGAAAAATTAACCATTGCAAACCCATGTAGAATTGTATTAAAAATTATCCATTGCAAACTTATGTAGAATCCTACATTGCAAACCCATGTACAATAGAATTGTATGAAAAATTATCGATTATAAACCCATGTACAATCGTAACAAAAGTAATGAAATAAAAAAAAAATTGCGACAAGTGAAAGTAGAAACTTGTACCAGTGGAAAATTAAAGTTGCAGACATATATATAGTCGTATAATGAATCAGTAAAAATTTAAATTTGCAAATGTAGAATCGTACTATAAAAATCTTATCTTTTAAAAAAAAAAGATAAACAAGATGCCAAGTCCATTAATATAAAATAAAAAGAAATAAAAAAATTGTAGTTAAAAAAACTGGGCGCGCTGCTAAGTTTTAAAATTACAATGCACCTTAAAGTAACATTAATTAATTTAAACACAAAACATATTTTAACTGCAATGAGTTTAAAAATAACAATTTAATTTTAATATCATTAGAATATTATTTAGCACCTTAAAGTAACATTAATTAATTTAAACACAAAACATATTTTAACTGCAATGAGTTTAAAAATAACAATTTATTTTTAATATCATTAGAATATTATTTAGCAGCGCGCCCAGTTTTTTAACTACAATTTTTTTATTTCTTTTTATTTTATATTAATGGACTTGGCATCTTGTTTATCTTTTTTTTTTAAAAGATAAGTTTTTTTATAGTACGATTCTACATTTGCAAATTTAAATTTTTACTGATTCATTATACGACTATATATATGTCTGCAACTTTAATTTTCCACTGGTACAAGTTTCTACTTTCACTTGTCGCAATTTTTTTTTTATTTCATTACTTTTGTTACGATTGTACATGGGTTTATAATCGATAATTTTTCATACAATTCTATTGTACATGGGTTTACAATGTAGGATTCTACATAAGTTTGCAATGGATAATTTTTAATACAATTCTACATGGGTTTGCAATGGTTAATTTTTCATAGGATTCTACATGGGTTTGCAATGGTTAATTTTTCATAGGATTCCACATAGGTTTGCAATGGGTACGATTCTACATGGGTTTGCAATGGTTAATTTTGCCTAGGATTCTACATGGGTTTGCAATGATTAATTTTTTATAGGATTCTACATGGGTTTGCAATAGGATAGGATTCTACATGGGTTTGCAATAAATAATTTTTGTTAATGGCGTGCCCTTAACTGGTCGCCTTTTTTTACCTTTTTTAAAGGTGAGTTTTTAGAGATTATACTTTATTTACAATAGTAGAAAGAATATTTTAATTTTTCGTACCAAAATTGTTTTATTATTTTCAGATGTCATTAACCAGTTCTCCAATTCAGCCAAAGAATTATCATTTACAGGAAATGATTGCATAATTTCGGGAATTTCATTACATACAACATTTTGTACTGGATCTGATTTATTTTTTAGTAGAACATTAATACCTTCGGAAATATCATCCATTTTCAAACTGAGAATGTGTAATTCTCTACAAATCCGTTTTCCAAATTCTAAAATGTAAATAATTAATTATAAATTATTGTTTAGTAATATTTTTTTCCAATATTTTATTTACATATATACATATATACCATTTTTAAAATTTTTAAATTGTATTTATTTTATTATATACGTATATCTTATGTAATAAATTATAAAATATCATACGAACTATCTCACCAGAATTTAATTCCAAAGCCGGGTTTTTATGATATGACTCAACAATATTAAAAATAGGAGTACTAGTATCAGAATTAGAAACAGTATCAACAGTAACTTTGGACTTATAAGTGTTATTTTCTATTTGATTTTTTTTTCCTAGAAAAAATATAAATTAAATATATATCTTTTTACATATAATTATATTCTCTTTTCTACATTAATAGCTGTTACAAATTTTAAGTAAGTACTGATTTAAAGTTATATCAAGAAAAAGTACAATTAAAATCTTAAATTTTTCTTATTTGTTTTTTATGTTTTCTTATATTTCTGTATTTTTTAATATTAATTATTTTTATTATAAATATTTTTTACAAAATATAATCTTAATGAATTTTTTATTATATAATTATAATATCTTATACCAACATCATATTTTTTACTTACTATTGTTTGAGTCAGTTTGTTCGTTAAAATTTGGAACGTCAGGATATAATGCATCATCATCTGATGATGATCTATCTATTTCAGAGGAGGACGATTCACTTTCAGATTTGTTATTGCGCTTTTTAGTTTTTGTATTACGTTCTCTTTTCTCTTTCAACTCTTCATTATTAGAAGTAAGATTGTTTGTACTTTTGGCTTTGTTTGCCTTTTGATGCGCTTTTTTATAAGTGTCTGCAAAATAATAATTATTTAAATTAGTATTAATTAAAATTAAAGTAATAACTAAATATATAAATATATAAGTCAATTAAAATTTGATTAAAGAAGTGAAAAATAAATACGTAGTTGTATTTTTAATTAAAAAGTAAATTATCTTAATAAATAATATAGATATGACTATTATTTATGTAATACTCGTATAATTGCTATACATATATAAATATATACAAAAGATTTATAAAATATATATTTGTTACACAAATACACAATATAGTATGTGTGTGTGTGTGTGTGTGTGTGACAATTTATATATACTTTACCATAAGTGCCCAAACTACTCGCTCTATAAAGCATCCAATCTGTCGTAGGAAGATGTTTCTTCTTTATTAGATCTATTATGACATGTTGTACAGTGCCTTCAGGTGGCCAATAACATTGTGAATTTTTATACCATGTATTCGGAACAGCTTCTACTGTTTCTTCGTCATCAAATTTTACAACGAGCCAGGTCATCTTGTCATTATATTGTTGTTGAATATTTTGTAACAAAAAAAACATAAATTTCAGAAGATAAAATATCAAGTTTATAAGATCCAGCTAATCTCATACTTTGAATTATTTGTAATACAAAACAATTTTTATGATTAATAATAAACATATTTATATATTATATGAAGAAAAGAATATTATAAATTTTGACAATGAAAATTATACATTTTTTAATAAATTCAATTAACAGTAATTTACATATGTAACAATGGAAATGAAACAAGCTTGTTTTTGTAAGGTAACACTACTAATTTTCTTTTGATGAAGTCAATATTCCATACTTCAAGTGAGTTATTTTCTTTCTTTATATATTGAACATTAAATAAAGATGATGAACACGGTTTTGAGTAAAAATTATCATGCTTATTATATGTGTATCCTAATAAACATATAGCGTTTTCACAAAAAGCAAAATTTTTAATTTTCACAATAACATTATTCTTTAATTCTACAAATTTATCAGCATTATTCGAAATATTTAAATAATAATTATTTGTCTGTAATCTTCTATATTGTGGAGATGTGCAATTCTTTGTTAAAGGACCGTTAAAATGTTCTATCGATAGTTCGGTAAAAGAATCATTTTTAATATTATTAAAGTTATGTTGAGCAATATTACTTTCCTCAAGCACGCGATGTATAACTTGCTGTAAAGGCTGAGCTGATTTACGAACTTTCTTCTTTAATTGTTGCATATAATTTTTAAAAGGAAAAGCGCTAAAATTGTCAAGTGAACCATATAATTTTACACAGTCGCTTAAATGCAAAAAGTTATGTATGTTGTGTGATACAAAATCCGGACCGTAAATTTTAATAGACTGACAGACAAAGTGTTTCATCAAACTGTGAGCATATATTACATAATCTTTATTTCTTGAATAACATTGACTTATCATTATAGAACTAGCAAGACTTAATGTTATAAAATTATTATAAATTTTAGATGATAAAACCTTTTTCAAAACTATAGGACCAGAATAGAGCAAAAAGAATCTATATTTTGTGGCTTTATATCTCTTACACTCAATTATAGAACGTGTTTTTCTAGAAAACTCATAAGGAACGTATTGCTTTAATTTTAGAAGATTTTCTGAAATTTTATTTACATCGCGAGCTCGTAATTTATGGGGTGGTTTACCATAAATCCATCCATACCGTTTATGACAAAGGAGCCTTTTCATACCACCTAATAAAAGATTATGCATGTAATCTATTGGTACATTATCTATCATGTTAAAGTTAGGTATATCTAATAGTATACTTTTGCCAATATGATGTTCCGGTTGAGCAGTAGTTCTAAATGTATGATCAGTTCTTTTGTAAAAACGTTCTGTCTCCGTAAAACATAATACATGATTAAACATTTCACCCTCTTCTTCACATTTTGTGCATGAAAAATGGCCTGTATGACCTTTAATAAATAAAGCAAATGATTTCGCTGGAGAATCACAAATTAACATTAAAATTCTGAATTTGTATCGAAAAGAATTTATTAATATGCCATTAGTTGTTAGATGAATACATTCATTTACAAAATCTTTAAAAAAATCATTAGCAGATTTTGGTTTTTCCGAACCATGATATAAAGCAACTAAAAATATGTGGTTTATAAGAACTTTTATTGATTTGATTGAGCATAAAATAGGCCAAAATGAACTATTCGAACTTTTGCTTAACGGTAAACCATCAGTATTGACAGCTAATAAAAACTCTTCATCTCGTTCTAAGTTGATTTTATGATTTATACAAAATAAATTTATCGTTTTTTCTATACCAAAATAAAAATATGTCCCGGAACCTAAAGGTGTTACAATTATTTTACTAGGTGTTTTTAGTACTGTTCTTGCATCTTTTGGAATATTGCTACATCCCGGTATTTCTCGTGTTATAGGAAGTAAATTTCCTAACGCCGATATTGTTATATTATCTTTTACAGCCCATACAGCTAATTTTGAGGTTAACGATATATTATTTTCATTATTATTGCACTCAATATTATTCAGTAATTCTTCGACATTATTATTAAATAACTCATTATTTGGAACATTGACATTTATATCATTATTACAACATGAATTTATAGGCAATATTAAACTATCTACTAACTCATTGTCGTATGGAATATTGACATTTACATTATTATTACAGCATGAATTTGTAGGCAATATTAAATTATCAGTAGCAATATTATTATCAATTTCTGTGATGTTATCATTGATATGAGAATTAAAAAATACAGAATTATTATTAATAAGTTCTAGAGATCGATTTAGTTTATTTTTAAGATTTCTATGGAATTTAATTTTATCTTTAATCCTTAACTTATCCATAGTCAAAGCTAGAGGTTAGACTAACACTGAACACAATGAAAAAGAGTGAAAGTTATAAATATGTGTATTTTATTAATATGATTGTACTTACTTTAAAAAAGTTTCGTCTGATACTTGAAAAAACTATGCACACAATTATGTAATATGGAGGGGTCAGCTCAGAGGAGATATCAGCTTTTCTCGCAGCTCTTCAGAGGAGATATCTCTTCAAAAAGATACACCAGCTCACAAAATTTTAGGCGCGAAAGAATATCAGTATTATAATCACACAGCAACAGTACTTCTTGAAAAAATTGCTCGTACTCGCTGCCGGAAATGTAGTAACGTGCACAGGCCTGATCGCGTACATGTGCTGCGCAGAGCGGTTCAAACAATCGCGTGTCGCAATATGCGAGGAAGACTCTTTGTCTGCCGAAACGCGCACACGTGACTAGGACATGTTGAACACGTGATCGACAGACATGTATCACTTCGTATATATCTCTGGTACTAATAGGGCCCAACGCAACAGAAAAATTATTAGAAATAGAAATAATTATTAAACAAGAAAGAAAGTAAAAGATTTTTTCTTTCCTTTCTTACTAATTTATAATATGTATTTTTACCCTTTATATTTTTCTATTTTGTGCGTAAGGCCTAACACAATACAAAAATATTATTTATATATATATATATATATTATATTATAATTCTAAATTTAAATTTTAAAACTATTAATTCTAATAAATTTAATTACTATAAATGTAACGAGTCAATCTTTGTAAAATTGATATTTAAAATAAATGCTAATACAAATGTATAAGTAAAATAATCATTTAGTACAATTATTGTTGAATGCATTTTTAGAAACTGTAATTTAATTTATTGGAAAATTATTACAGCATGTACCTATAATTATTGAAGCATTTTAAATAAAAATTGTACAGAAATTTGAGTGCATAAAAATAAAAAATTAATTTAATTTACAACAAATTTTAATTTATAGAAAGAGATTATATAAAATATATATATTCTCTAAACACATACATTTCATATACATAATTTGGATGTACATTAAAATATGTAATATATATATTTATTGATGTATTTCATATGTACATACAGTTTATGTATGTACAGTGTATGTGAAATGTATATATAGTTCATATATGACTAGTGTGTATGTATGTATATATAGTGTGTATGTAAAATGTAGATAATTAATATTTTCTCGCTAAACTTCAGATATTACGTTCATTGAAGCTTTAATACTTTTTATTATTATAACTATACATTTACACGTCAGGTTTGATAACACTATTTCTAAAACTGGTCAATTATAGCTAATCCTCGGAAGATTGGAATGGTTAAAAGTTGACCAGAAGTATAGATTATTAAATCCAATTGAGGATGACGTGTAATAAGAGGCTATGATGATAATACTATTTCATATAACATTTGATATTTTAGGTGTATATTTTATGAATATACATTTTACTTCCATGACAAAAATAATATCCTATATGTCAAATGTTTATACATTTTATATACATGATTTGGATATACACTGCAATATATAATATGTATATTTATTAATGTATTTTATATGTATATACAGTTTATGTATGTACATTCCATGTAAAATGTAGATACATAATTAATATTTTTCCGTTAAGCCTCAGATATATTTATTGAAGCTATACTAATAAATTTGGTCAGTAATTAGTACTTTCTATTATTAATATTAATGTTAATAATATATTACTTGACATTGGACAAATTATCAGTACTTTCTATTATTATGACTACGTTTAGACATCAGATTTAATAACACTAAATTTCTTAAACTGGTCAATTACAGCTATTCCTCAAAAGAGTGAAATAATTATGTATGACCAATTCTAGAAGTATAAATGTTATTAAAATTGATTTAAGGATGACATGTAATAAGAACCTATACTATGATTGATAATAATATTTACTTCATGTAATGTTGGACATTTTTAGGAGTATATTTTATGAATATACATCTGACTTTCATGACATAAAAAAAATATTCTGTATGTCGAATGTTCATACATTTCTTATACATAAGTTGAATATACATATTACATATTATAATGTATATCCAATTATGTATATGAAATGTATGAACATTCGACATATATATTTTTTTTGTCATGGAAGTCAGATGTATATTTTATAAAATATACACCTATAAATAAATATATACATAGGGTGTATAAATTTTATGGAGTTAAAAGACTAACATATAATTACATTCTTTAATTTTAATTTTATGTGAAGTTTACTTTAATAAATCTTTAAAAAATATATATATAACAAAAAAAAACAGAAAGTTTATAAAAATTGATAATCTCTTTCGACATTTTCACTATAAAAAGATTGTCTCCAAATTGACCAAAAAGTCTGGCATTATATGACATATATATGTAAATACTATAGAATTCAAATAGTGGTCTTATATTTAAGATTGTCTTAATATGTATGTAAATAATGTATACATACATATGCATATGTTACATACTGTTGTGCCTCCGGGAAGGCACGGAAAATTTTGGGGTCTCAGTCGACTGAAGGATGAGGATCCTAGGATCGGCGGGCGTCTCCACTTTGATTAACTTCGCTTGTGTATTTGAATAAATCTTTTATTTCGCTTATTTCTTGAGTTGGATTAATTATGTATAATCCCACCTGGGTGATTAGTTAGGTGTGCTCGCTCTCGATAATCAGATTACAGGTGATAGTTATATTCTGCGGCTTGTCTTCGACTCCTAGTTAGGTTCTAATTAGCGACTCGACCTTTTGGATTTTCGTTAGCGACTACTAGATTTATTCTGACTTTAGCTAAATAACAACTCGTCTGATTACGAGTCGGGAGTTATCCTCGATGTGTCTCGGTAGGTTGGTCTAATTCAACTCGCTCTCTGTTCACTCCCGAGTTCTTACGTGAACTCGGTTTTTCGTTATTTCATTTGGAAGGGGTGCCTGGCGACAGGCACCCGATTGGTGCATAGCTTTTGCATACGCGGCTAGATTTTGAGCTAAGAGCTGTTCGAAAGATGAAGCTCTTAGCTTGCGTCTTCGCGGTTTCCGGCCCGCTGCTGCATCAGCGGTCTCCACGCGGATTTTATATCCGTTAACTTGTAATTATAGCCTTTCGGGCTATAACACATACATTATAGGTATGTACAATTTATGTATTTACATTTTATATATATCAGATATACACAAACTATATAAACATACGAAATACATTAATGAATATACATGTTACATATTATGATATACATTTAAATTATGTATTTAAAATATACTATATGTACTGAAAAAAATAGCAATGTTTAATTGGTCACATATCAACCAAAGCTTTAGATACTGACACAAAACTTTTTTCTCAGTGTGTTTTATAGATATTATGAAACATAATGTACACACGATATACAAAAATGTATATACATATTATATATACACTAAAGTACATATAAAGTACATATAAACTATACATTTACACTTTACATACATTTGCCATATGTATATATAAAAACATCAAGGAATATACATATTACATACTGTAAGGCATATACAAATTATGTATCTACATTTCACATACATTGCACATACATAAACTGTACGTACATATGAAATACATCAATGAATATACATATTACATATTCTAATGTATATCCAAATCATGTATATGAAATGTATATATTTAGAGATTATAAAATGTATGTATATATGATATACAGAAATGTATATACATATTACATACTGTAAGGTATATATAAATTATGTATTTACATTTCACATACATTGTACATAAATAAACTGTACGTACATATGAAATACATCAATGAATATACATATTACATATTCTAATGTATATCCAAATCATGTATATGAAATGTATAAACATTCAATATACAGGATATTTTTTTCATATCATGGAAGAAAAATGAATATTCATAGAATATCCAATGTTATATGGGTATATTATTACTAAATTTAGATAATATACACTTTACGTATGTTCACTTTGAACTGGCACCTTGAATAACATATCAGTTACTTTTCGTGATAATTTATTATTAGATCGTTTAAATTTTTGAGTACCTTCTTTTGAACATGGCCTGACCTTCTCATTTTTATGATTTTTTTAGGATATTATTATATTAAAATTTCATTTATTTGTGCTAAATTTTCTTTATCCTCATTCTTTCTTTTTAGAGGGGTTTTTATCCCTTTCAATAAATTACATAGCGTCATATGCCCATCTATCTTGCGTATATCTTTTACAGAATTTACTGTTAAGTATGCCGGTACTAAAAATAAAATAAAATAAAATTATAAAATAAAACAAAAAAATATAAAATTTAAAAAATAAAAATAAAAATAAAGTAAAATAAAAAAATAATTAATATATTTCTAATTATTATTATTATTTTTAATTATTAATATATTTATCTTAATCTTGGATAACTGTCTTAATTTTAGATAACAGTTTAAATCTTATTGTTAGATACAGAGTTGCAACATTGTAAAATAAAGTATATATATTATCTATCTAATATATAGGTTGTTCCAAAATTTGCGGATTTGGAATGTACAGCGTGATTGTTCGTGTCAAAAGAACAGCTTTTCTCTGGCAAAATTGTGTCTGAGCACTACTTTTTAAATGAGAATGACTTTAAATTAATGCGTGAGCGCTCTTAATTTTGCATGAACCAAGAACTGCGCACAGACGACGTGCGTGGTGCATAAGCGTGTATGCTATTTTATTATTTTGCTAAAGATATTATAACTATGCATATCTAAATTTTCTTTTCAATTCAACTTAAGTACTTCATTAGAAAATATCTCTCAAATGATATTAACGATTAAAAGTAACATATTGTAAATTAAATAATACGTGAATAATTTTAATCCAAGTTTATTTTCCAACGTTCTAAAAACTTTTTGGCTCTGAAAAGGGCCGATTAAATGTTTTAAAGCATATATTCAAAATGTAGATTTCTTATCTGTATATATTCTCATGTGTTACGCACTCCGTTCGCGCACCGCTCCTAACTCAATGCGAAATCTAGAACGCTCATTCGTTAGATTAAAGTCATTCTCATTTAAAAAGTAGTGCTCAGACGTAATTTTGTCACAGGAAAAAGTTGTTTTTTTTGGCACGAACAATCACGCTGTATATTCCGAATTCGCGAATTTGGGGACCCTGTATATTATTTATTTAAATATACATATTATTTATTTAATGCATGAACCAATAAAAACTAAAAAATAAATTATAAAAAATTTGTTGAAAATTGATACGTACGTAAAATTTTCTCTCTTGAAATACACACATCAATATAAATATTTTGTTATAGTATTATATATTTTATTAAATCTTTTTAACTGAAGTAA